TTAATTAAAAGTACAAAAAACTTACTTGTAAGATCATGTAATTAACATACTTTTTCCATGCCTCTTGCGTATGCCTATATATATGTATATCAACTTTTCAACTATTAACTATGTGATTTAATAATAATATTATATATATTTTTAGTTATAAATTAAAATTTAATTTCTAATATCTTCATGTAAAAAATCTATCTACTTTTCAATTTCCATCCCTTGCTTTCAAATGTCCAACAATTCTGCGTATCCTATGGGGCAAAATTGAAAATTCATTTTTTTTTAAAAGTATCGTAAAGAAATTAAATTAATGCAAAGTGCCATAAAGTGTAGGATAGACTGGGACTGAGACTTCAATCTTATCGGCCAACCCACCGACAAAGAATTAATTTTTTTTTTTTTATAATAGCCAACAAATAATTAGTTGCCCATGTACTACTACATTTTTCTTTGCCTAGCCCTATTCCTACCATTTACATGACCCATTGGACACGCCTTCCATTCATTTCCCGACCATCTACGGCTCGTAGATGGGTTGGGACATAACATGAATTTTCCACGCCCCATTGCATACGCCTACATGAACTTTCCATTTTCCTTCGTTTTCAAATGTTGTTTTCTTTGAATTCTTGACTTTTTAGCTTGTATCTACAGATAAAGGAAGATGGGAGGTTGGGATGGTGACTCATAGCAATGGAACCTAGAATGGAGAAGACAATTGCACACATGGGAGCTGGAACAGGTCAGCAAGCTGATCAATATCTCGTTGCAGACACAGCCAGTTAAAGGAAAGAAGGATGACTGGCAATGGAGATGACAACAGTGGACTTTACACGGTGAAATCAGCTTATGGCCTACTTCTACGTAAGACAGAGAATGCAGCAAATAGAGATATATTCAAAAAATGTTGGAATGATATGGTACCTAGTAAGGTACGTAGCTTCGTATGTGGCCCGTGCTTAAGGAAAAAATTCCACGCAAGTTCAATTTAGCTAAGAGAAATGTCATAACGAAATTAATGTCACTGGCAGTCTGTGTAGCCTACGTGGTGAATCAGTTGAAGGCACAAATCACTTTGTTGCTGATGTGCAGAATTTCTCACTTAGAATGGATGAAGTGTTTCAATTGGTGGGGGGATTAGTTATGTTTTACATTATTATCGCAGCAAGGAAGATTTTAGACAACATTGTGACTTGCTGAATTATGATGCTTGTTGGGGGGTGATAAGGTTTATTGTAATTTGGACTATCTAGAAATGATGTGATCTTCAATAGGAACAATTGGGAAGTGGACAGGAAGTTTGAATTAGTCCAGGTCCGATCATCCATCCGAATTAGTAGGAGACAAGAGAATTCTGGGCATACTCATTGAAAAATGGAGTAAAAATCCTAGAAGGTGTGTAATGGCAAGAAAATAGTGCTTGAAGATAATGGTTTGATATTGAAGGATAAGAACTGTTTCATAGTTGTTGTTAAACAGAGTATGTACTAAGAAATAATGGCTCTTTTTTTTTTTCTTTTGGTAGTCCATTCTGTATGCATGCAGTACAATTATTTCAAAATAGTATAACCAAGAAAACTCTATTGAAAAATTTAACTCCTGAGGTACGTCCAATAGAGATCCACATAATCAGTTTAAATGGTACTGGTGCCTGAGCTTGATCCATCAATTTTTATGTCTTCAAGAACATTATCAGATTTAATCCAATTTCATTTCCAGTATATGGTAAAGAGTTCTTGAGTTCTTACCGTTAGGGTTTAGTGTTAATTTTCCTGCCTTAGTTTCACTCAAGTTTTAATTCTTTCATTCAAGAAACCTAATGTTTACTTAATCCTTGTTAAAAAGAAAATGAAGATTAAGATTTGTGGGTATGACTTACCGTCTTTACAGGATCAGCCATGGTCAAGAACACAGAACAATTGACAGTTCCGAAATGATAGATGCATCCTCTGCTGAACATAAGGCATCAGGCATGTTTAATATGCTTCAAAAATCAAACCAAACATTACGGGGAAAAAAAGAGAGAAATCAAACAAAACCATTTTCATAGAATATATGTCGGTAGAATTGAAATAAGATGTGTTTAATAACATTTAGCAAATTCTTCCTTCTTTTTGGAAGAGTACTCTGTGTTGTAAATTTGAGAAACAACACATCTAAATTCGAAAGTGTACAAACGGCAGACTACAAAAGGAAATGGGAATACCGCTATTCAGTTGTTTCCTTCCTTTTTTTTTTTTTTTAACTAGTATAACTTTTGGGGGGAATGAGAGAGGAAAATTGGCGAAGAGCCTTTAAGCCTTATTCGAGTGGGTGATAATTATTAAAAATTATTTTAAAATTGAAATTATTATAAATTGTAGACTAAGAATTTATAAATGAGTAAAGGCTCCCACCTTAAAATTATCAATATATTTTTAGACCATTAATTATTTGACTTAATGATAAAATTATATGAACTCTTATTAATATATATGATCGAATTTATAATCTTTATATATTAAAAAAATCAATGTATCTTTAGTAATAAGTCATCTTAACTTTTGCTCTTTTTTAATTTTAATTTTTTATTTTTTAATTTTAAATTACAATAATAAACTCTTATTGCTTTAGTGTCTTTGCCCACGTACTTATGGTTTAATTTAAAATTTTTTATTTCACTTAAAAAATAAAATTACTAATAAATTGTATAAATAGTTGACTCCTTTTTTATTGTTAAAATTTTAGTCTTCTCTAGCTTTCATTACAAGTGTCTTACATCTCAATTTAGTAACTTAGTTATCAGATAATGCTGCAGAATTAATGTTACTATTAATACACGGTTATGGTGAGATTCAATCTTGATATTGTAGATTGACATCCATAAGAAAAAATTTTCTGTAGAATGAACAAAAAATTCGTATTTCCTAGTATCCATCTTCTAATTATCTTACCATTCATTTCAAAGAACAGAAAATCAAAACATTACTGCTTAGAGGGAATGACACAATGGTTTATTTATAATACATTCCAATGACTTGAAGAATAATGCACTAGAAAAAAAAAAAAGCGCACACAAGACTAGAAAAATTAAATTACACAAAGAAATGGCTGACTTTCCACCACATATCATCTAGATATTGATAGTATGCATACCTCCATCTCCTACTAATTACAATAGGACTCAATTCACTCCAAAATCCTACAGTAAACCCAAGTGCCATGCTCGCAAACAACCAATTCACTTCAAGCCCATCCATATCTTTTCCCATTTCTAGTGCCAGGCACTACATGATTAATTTCACTGCAATTATCTGCAAGTGGGTGGCCACAGAGGTGATTTCTAGCATGGCTAGATGCATCAAAGCTTTGTAACTGAGTACTTGAAGGAATTGCCCTAGTCAATTGGTTGTCCGACAGGT